AAAAAAAAAAAAAAAAAAAACTGAGGGTAACCAATATGGTATATACAGAGTATTGTAGCGCCTGTCCAGAGGGCTGTGACTGCACTGTCAAAATCTGCATACTGTGAGGTTGCTCGCATATTGTTTAGGCAAAGAATGGCAATATAAAACAATTTAACTCGGCATAAAAATAATCATCCTTGATTTTAACCTGTATAAACCCTTCAAAGCTTTGCAATATGAGTGATCTCATTCCAACTGAAGGATGTGAGGGGCCTATCCCAGTCATACCTAACGGGCTCTGCCTTTTTCTAGCAAGGAAGATACTGCTAAGACCGTCTTCCTCCGCCGTCATTGAAAAGCGATTAAAAGATCTAAATTTGCACTTTTGGCTACGAACTATCATCAAAGAATTGCTTCACTACAACAATAATTTTCATACTTACACTGATAACATTCGCTTGCAGGAAAGTCTGGGATGTTTAGACAACCTAAATGATCCACAGAAGTACATCATATCATTATTATAAATTCATCTTATTTAGTAATTTCTTAGAAATCGATTTCGTAATGAAAACTAACGATAAACAGTCACGACGTTTCGACCTCTCTGAGGTAATTTTCAAGTTCGAGTCAAGAATACAAAATTGGCATAAATATGTTTATGAATGATTCCAAATAAAAAAAAAAAAATGTCGCGAACGATAAAATGCAATAAAATAATATTACGTAAAGAAAAACGATAAAAATATTTATGAAGTTGAGAAGGAACCAAAAGACAATTAAACAATTTTAACATGTTTTTAAAGAACTGATCTAAACAAACGATTTAGTTAGAATTGAGTCACACTGTTTGTTCAGTGTTGTTTCAGTTCGATTCTTTGACAAAAGTTTATTTGACATTTGAGAGAGCAAAATGATAGGAAGCCGGAAGACATTGCCCAAAGCTTTATAGCTAGACCAGTAGGTAAATATCAAATATTTTTTCAGCTGGACAGCTAGATGCTATCTGTAGGCCACATTTTGGTGCTTTAAGTTGCACAATTATTTCACCATATTGCTGCACTGTGATGAGTAATATAGGCCCGGTTCAAACGTCGAACTTTACATGTGCCGAACCTAATACCAATTTAGGTCGACCTAGATAATTAAGTGCGGCAGTTGATTCAAACGTCGAACCTAATTTAGTCGAACTTAATTACAAAAATAAAAGAGACACTATTGCAAACGACGGTTATTGCTGACCAAAATGGCGGGAAAATGTGGCAAAAGACAAATTGAAGAAACGGATGAGCTTTCTTTTCTTCCAAGTGCCATCAAGAAGGACAGAAGTCGAAGAAGGCGACTCCAGATGCAGTTAGCACAGCCGAAGACGATTTTTGAATTTGGTTTGCCCTCTATTGTTGCTTATTCCCAAAGGAACATCACAGTTCCTCGTCCAGTTCCTTCCTGTGGTGGGTTTCTTCAAGATTCATTTATTTTGTCACTTTCTCTCAAAACCATGACTCGCAGTACGCCACCGAACTGCTTGCTTTCCAACCCGCTATACTCTCATCGTTTTCAAGTACGGAACACCGCATACAAAAGTGGTTTATGCACATCAAGCAAGTTTATTTCGTGCTCTCGAAACAAGAGGAATACATATCTTCCCGCTCTTTCCGCTCTTCCTGCCATTTTGTTCCAAAAAGATCAAAACAAGCTGGGTGCGCATGACAAAAATAGGGAACGTGCAGAACTCTGGGTAAAAATTAATTAATTTAATGTATTTGTAATGTACGCATTAGGTTCGGTACATGAAAAGTTCGACGTTTGAATCGGAGTCGCTCCGTAGTCGAACTGACCGACTGGCCAGGTCGAACTTAATTCTCGGGTCGACCCAAATAACATCTGTCGAACTTAATTGATTCAAATGTCGATCTCGTCATGTACGTTATTGGGGCTATTGGGTTCGGCTCATGAAACGTTCGACGTTTGAACCGGGCCATAGATTCACTATGACAATAATTTGGAAGTAATTATCTGAAAGTCTAGAAAAGTTGAGGCCACAAAAAAGGCAGTACTTTAAAATTAAGACTTTAATTAACAAATAAAAATGCAGTAGCTTAACACTCTTCCTGTTCATTAGCATATTCATATCAAGGTGAGTATTTGCACCAACCAGGAGTTGTTAAAATAATAGAGGTCCAAACAGAAAACGGCTTGTCATCCGGGAACGTTGGTTTTATCTACAGAATTAAAACGCACGACAATAAATCAGAACCACATGTACTTTAAACTAAAATTAGAGAATCCGGAAAAATTGTAGACAGAATTTCAAAGGGTGTTTTTCGGATAACCAGGGCCCAGCATTTATGGAGTGTAGGAGCAAAATGTTTCTATTGCCATGACTAGAAACGGACATTCTGCCCTCAAGACGAGATTAATTCTACATGTGAAATAATTTATTTTGTAGTCCCTCACCACCCCTTACTGACAGTAACTCGTTACCGATGTGTTACGCGCTAACGGAATTAAATTACCTCAACTTTGTAGGACGTTGCAGGCAGTAGATTTGTTATTGTGTGACGATTAATAGTCTGCAAAAATAATAACACATGCAATTATTACAAAGTGACCCTCAAGATACAGACAAGGTCGTAATGACTACTTAAGCAGATAGTCCTGAGAGGTACCGTAAATAATGGGACCCCCGGTTTTACAAGCTAAAAAACACTCATCATCGTCACTGCGAACGTCATCATTTCCATTGCCATCATAGTTAGTAGAGGGGAATGGTTATGAAACCCGGCAAACTTCAAAGGACGATCTCTTTGTTTAGGTTTTTGCTTGGTCACGTGATTGCGACCGTGCACAACAGAAATGCCAAGATGGCGTCCGGAGTCTCGTAGAAATTGAAGTTCGAATGAAAAATTGTGGTTTTGGCTGTTAAATTTGCTGTTAATTAATCGAGTATCGTTAAACCAGGAGATAATTGTTCTGTGTTTGGCTGTGGCACAAGTAGAAGGACCAAAGGAGTAGGAATATGGAAGTTACCGAAGGCAAAAGACGAGGACCCCAAGAAATGGAGGGAAGATTGGCTCGGGGAAATTACGAAGACAAGAGAAGTTGATCGCGACTTTAAGAGACAAGTAGAAAACGACAAGGTGTTTACATGCGAGAAACACTTTCATC